GGCTATTTGTATAATCGGGTATTATGCAAATGTAAGTCCTAAGTAATAAAATTGGCAGGATTGAACATTTAAATAACATCATCTCTAAAAATGCAGCCACACATTAGGATAGTTTGGGAAGTCACTGAGGGTTCTCCTCAGGATCTGTGACATCCCCTACCTTTTCTTTCCTTTGGACTCCTGAAATAACTGTTCATGTTTGAGCCACTCCCATTTGCCCTTCTACGTCCTACCTTGAAAACCTGAACCTTGAATTCTTGAAGACTAGAACCATTGATCATTATCGAGAGTTTTCTCAAATGACTCCCGTCATTTGGGATGTAATTAACTATAGGGGTTTGCCTCTATAGGGAACTTGGAACCCAGGTAAAATAAACCCTATTTAATCTTTGTATTAAATAGGGGAATTTGTCGGTCATATATAAAAGATTCGCAGACCAAACGGATGTCACAAATCTCTTAGTTTGCAGGATTGGGTCTATCGTCGAGGTCTACACTTATCTTTCGGGAGGGTGTAGTATTCGCGGTATCAGACACGATTATGCAAACTATTGGACGAATGAGATCCACTTGGTCTCATTTTTCAAAAATTAAAACATACTACTTTTAAAACTCAAACTATATATATCTCTTATATTTAAATTAAATTTCAAAAATTATTTTCATATTTTCATATTTTCAAAATCTAAATCTATTAATCGAAAAAGTTGACCGACAGTCCGATGCTTAGAATTTGTCATATTTGGAGCCAAAATTTCACATGTAAGATATCCATCTTTTCTTTTCTCGAAGACAGACTGTGACCATTGGAGAAAACTCTAGCCATGCAGTTTGTGGTTAGTGACTAGGTGGGATGAGTTATTAGATATGATAGGTAATCAAGATGTAGACTCGGAGCTAGAGGTGACTTCAAAGGAATAAGATTGTGAGCCCATGATGTGTTTGACCATGATAAGGTTGTGAAGCCCGAATCGAGAAGAATTGTTGTTCGAACAAATGCGAAAGGAGTTCCCTTAGTTCGACTGCTCGATTGGACAAGCAAAGAGGAACTAGAGGAAGGAGGACTCTTAGTTCAACTGCTTGGCTTCCACAAGTTCATCAACCCGAATCGATCTTAGGAGCAGTGTATACCTTTACTTTTGCGAATCTAAGAGGACTACAATCTGGTGAAACATTTATGCTCGATACTTATATGATCTGATTTGTTGGAAACGCTCGCAGAGGAATGTGATTTGGTCTAGTGGAAGACACGAACTTATGTGATCCAATCTACTGGAGCTGCTCGATAGAGGAGTGTGATATGGTCGAGTAGAAGAAACGAACGATGCTGCAATTTTGTGTGTACGTGAGTAGACGACGCAACGACCCTATCTCTCATGTGTATGAAAGGAGACAGCTTTGTGCGTCGAAGACGGCATCCGAGAATTCCTATGAGTTTGTCTTTGTCATCCGTGATCAAGCTTTGCTAGAGCTGCAGGTCGCTTTGACACTTCAACTTCGAAGCTTTGGAGACGGAGTCCTGCAATGCGCACGTAAGATTTCTTGGCTCTAATACTATGTAGGAATTGTGCATAATATTTTATTCCAACTTACTTAATGCATTATACCTTGCTATATATGTAATGAAAGGAAACCAAATAGTAATCCCTCTAAAATAAGAAAAAAGAAAAAAAGAAAATATCTACTAAAAGAAACACAATTAGTGAAATACATTATGAAGAAATGAAATAAACTCCTTCATAATCTTAAAAAAAAAAATCCTTCCCGCAGATTGGCACTTTTCGATACATTTGTATTCTAAATATATTATTTATATTATCATATTTTCATCCTTTTTCTAGATTTTGTTATTTTCAACCTTAATTAATTTAATTTATCAAAATCTCTACTTTTCTTATTTACTTTGTTATTTGTATATCTCATTTTATCACTTTTTAGTACCTAGCCTTTATATTTATCGTCTAAGAATTGTAGGTTTGACTTTACTTCCTAAATAGCTTTTATTTAGCAGAATGATTAACTTCCTAAATTTTTATTATTAGTATGACAACCATCTCGCAAAATTAGTGGATATTCTTTCATTCTATTTGCCGCTGCATTCAGTTGATGTCCCTATCTTTTTCCTTCTACGAAATCTTTGTATATTTTTTTCTTTTCATTTTCAGGAGGCTCAAAAGTTTATCCATTTCTCTTACATTTTGGACAAAATATATGATCTTTAATTTGCAGGTAACTTATGGCAAGAATTGTGGAAATCTGCTAAAGCACTGCCTGCTGTTCTGCAAACACCAGTTTTTTATGAAGATTTAGCTGTGTAAGAAGGTTTTATATACTTTTTTTCCCCTTTCTCTGTGTTTTGATATTCTCCCAACTTGCTTAGAATGGTTCGATCATGCAGTGAAAGCATATTCACCACCTTGGAGGACATTCGACCTTCTGAGCTTTTTGGGCAGCTTTTTGTGTCCATGGTATGGATGTTTTCATTTTGATTTTTTCATCCTATTCAAGAATAATTAGTTCATGCTGATTATTTTATTCTGGGGCGCTTGCATACATACCACCCAATTCATGTTTATTTACGTTTCTAACACCTAAACCTTTACTTTTTATATTTATACCATCCAAATCATTCATATCACATAAAAAATGCCACTGTTTAACTTAAAAAAGTGAAACACACCTTTTTCTGCATAGGTGGAATATATGTGAAAATTGAAATTTTACCTTTTCGATATGTAAATACATAGGAATTAAGTGGTATGTATGTAAATCTGCCTTTTATGTATTCTTAGTCCATAAAAATACAAAAACTGGCAGAAGGTGATTTTTTATCTGTATGCAAGTATTTCCATGCTTTTTATCGCAGAATCTGATATTGCTCATCTTTTTATTTTTATTTTTATTTCATATTCCTCGGTATTTAAATGATAACGTATGATGACAGTGGTATAATTTTTAGGTGGCGTTTTCTTCTTGATTAAAAGAGTGCATGTGGAATGGTTGAGTGTAGCTTGGCGAATACTAATGAGAATGTTCTTAATTCATTCCTTTTTCCACAGTGGCAAAAATAGTATTCAAGGACGTGAAGGATTGATCAAGCTTACCACATTATATGCATTTATATTTTACTCATAAGTTTTGTCCTTGAAATCTTCAAGTATGAGTTAAAAAGTTCCCACCACTAAAAGTAACAGAAGTTGAAGTTGATGTTAGCAATTGGTATTAAAAATGAGGGTAATTTAGGAATTTATATTTGAAATTCTTACAAAAAACTAATTTCCTGCTTATCTTGTTTGGGATATGCCATGCAGTAACATTCTTAATATTTCTTACTTTATTTTTGGATGCTTTGTGAGAAAATTAATACATGCTAAATTTATGAATTTAAAAAATTATGTTGATAAATTTGTTATAAAATATTTTAAGCATTAAAAAAAAGGTCATTTATTAGATTTTGTAAAAATTTCAAGGAAAAATTTTTAAAATATCCTCAATTTTAACTCCTTTTGTCAAATTTAACGTTAATGTTTATTAGATCTTGTCTCCTATATTAAGAATCTAAACTCTAAATCAGATCATTTATATAACATGAGATTAAAATGTATCCCCCTAAATAATTGGGAGACCATTTTGATCTTTTTTTCTTCTATGAATTTATAGAACAATCTTGTGGAATCCCTATGTTTTTACAAACACATTCTTTAGAAGTCTGTCATACCAATATCTGTGATGATTCCCTCTAAACCCTTAAAAAAAATCTTTTGCATGCACATTTGAGTTATCTCCCATTTTCTGGAGATTTTGAGTGTAGTTTCTTTACAGCACCTCTTCTTAAACCCTTCAATATCATTAAATAATATTTCCCTACGATTCATTGTTCTGCATTTTTTTTTTTTACATAAAATTTGTTGATTGTGCTATCTATGAAATTCCCTATACCATATTTAGTTATGTAACTTGATCAAACCAATCTCTATTAACGTAGCCATTTCATGATTTATTCATCTTTTGAAAACCCACATAAAATTAATAACTCTCCAATTATATTCATTTAGATTTTTGCCCCTGTTTTATTTGGGGCATAACTCACGCGGACCTTCACTATTCTTAATCATTTTTGTTGGTCCAACATAGCAGAATAGGCCATATTGGAGATTTTCTGCATTTTTTTCTCTGAAATGAAGTACATGCTGATGACGTTTTTTTTTATTTGTTCCTGATAATAAAGAGCATATGATAAACTTTATTTTCCCAGCAATTCTTCTAATTGCATTAAATCTGCAGCTCTGCGCAGCCTTCACAATTGCAGAAGCTTCCATTTCCCCAGACAGCAGCAATGTGTCAAAAATTTTCTATGATTGTAAAGATTGGGTTGTTACAACTTGCCAAAATGGCATTTCAAGTGACAATATTGGCGATATCTGCAAGGTATGTATTAGTTCTACTTCTAGCAAGCCTTCTTCAATACAATGAAGTGGGTCCATTTGTTGGCAGTTTTTTAATTTGTTTGATTTTGGGGCCATTTATATACATACTATATAATTTCTGTGCGTTTACAAATCTAACCCTTGAACTTTCTTTTTTACATTTTTTTAACACTTGAATCTTTCATATAAGTATAAAAAATCAGAACTAAGGTATTAGATGTATAAATATATAGGAATGATGTGGTATGTATGTAAATCTTCCTTGATTTTTGAGACATTATCATTGCTTTTCAAAAAAATTGCTTGATCAAAAACAGCTTTTCAAAACAAGATATATTGGGATATGATGGCTATAAGAATGTTGTTGGTTTTCATTTTTTAAAAACAAAATATCTTTCAGCACGCACAGCCATTTTTGCATCCACTTTCAAAAATTTGTTTAAATTTGTTTTTATCATAAACAAATTTTATAGCAATTTTTACAAAAAACTACAGCCGCTTCAAATGTACCCAACCCTAAACGAAAATATATACATAAGGAGTCCTGATGCAAAACTGCATCAGGACTCCAATCACAATGTATCACGTGTATAGAATTTTTACAAAAAACTACAGCCGCTTCAAATGTACTCTCCAATCACAATGTATCACGTGTATAGTCCGGCTCCGTCATGCATTAAACTATTTAATTTTTTGTATTCAGTGAAGCCGAATCATGCACGTGGCGCATTGTGATTGAAGTCCTGTACCCTAAACACTCTCTTGAAACTCTCTATTGAATTAAAGCTTTGTCGTTTCCTTTTATAGGTATATGAAACGTTAGAGACAATCATCACCCATCCGGAAGAAGCCATCACCATTTTGGATCAAACAGAAGAGACCGTAAATGAGGAGCCAAAAAATCGTTTTAGAAGAATGAATCTCAATTTCATGAAGAAAGATACCACCAATTTATTGCGGAAAAATCCTCCAAATAAGGGAGAGAAGAAATCCAAGGAGAAACAAAGGCATGTGTTCTCCCACCTCTTTGATAAGAAATCTTTATTTTCAATGCGACAGCCAAAGCTTAAACCACCTTCAAATTCTGAGTCAACTCTGGAAGTCTGTGATTGGACAGTCGTATAGATAGAAAAAGAAATGGATTAAATTTGTCTTTTGAGACTAAAATGACCTCAGATTATATAAAAAGTTTAGTTAGTTTCCAGATTTATTTAAATAGAAATCAAAATAGTTACTTAAAAAGGATTGTTTTTGATTCAATTTAAATAGTCTGGAATTAAATTAGCCTTTTTTTTTTATTCATAGTTTTTGACCATTTTGGCCTTCTGTAAAAGAGTTGGTGATCATTTTGATTCTTTTCTTGATGTAAATAGGAATATTATTGATCAGTTCAAGGGAGAATTTATCTTCTTTTTAAATGAAAAAAAGGTCATAGCAATGCTTTTTTCTTCGTCTTCTTACCAAAAAAAAATGAAAAATGAAAAAAAAATTCAATTTTTATATATTTACATTTCTAACATCTAAATATTCAACAACAATATCAATAAGCTTTTATCCCACTGAATGGGGTTGGCTACATGAATTCTTTTTCCCCATTGTATCCTATTGAATGTTATATTTTCATTTAATTTTAATAAATAAAGATTATTTTTTTTATACGATATGCCCAAATGTTTTTATGTTTATCTCTATCTTTTTAAAACATGAGTCTAATTTAAAACATCTACTCTCTTAAAAGGATCTTCAAATGCCTGAGGTTTAATTTGACCAAATTATCTCAGACGACCTTCTCTAATCTTGTCCACTTTTGGAGCTACACCAAACCTTTTACGAATACATTCATCTTGCATTTTGCCTGTAAGTGCAAGCCACTCATCCTCCCAAGCATTCTCATTGCAGCAACACTTAAATTAGTTTTATGCTTCTTTTTTAAAGGCCAACATTCTATGTCATAAAGCAATGTAGGTATCATCATCATCTTATAATTTTTTTCTTATAAGTCTAAACACTACTTTTTTTATCAGACAATGGGCCTTATGGCATCCACATCTATATACCAACAATTTAAAAAGTAAACCCGAGATATCTAGAACGTTCGCACCTTTTAATAATTTGATCACTCATACTTACAATTTTATCACTAGATCTATTATTAAATTTGCATTTCATTTATTCAGTTTTAAATCTACTCAAATGAAAGCTTTTAGACTCTAATGCAGACCTCCATAATTTTTCAAGTTTTTCCTAAACTTTTTATTTAGTCTTATCCATAAAAGGATATCATCAGGGAAAAGCAAACACCAATGTATATCATCTTGTAAATGTCCAGTAAATGCATCCATAATTAAAACAAAAAAGATATTGGCTTAAAGTTGATCCCTGATGTAAACCAACTAAAATAGAAAAATACTTGGTCAATCCTCCTTCTATTCGAGCACATATAATTGCTCTAGTATACATATCTTTTAAACCAACTAAAATAGAAAAATACTTGGTAAATCCTCCTATTCGAGCACATGTAATTGCTCTTGTATACATACCTTTAATGACCTTAATATAAGTCATATCAACACATTTGTTTTTTTGGAACTTTTCAAAAAAAAATTTCTTGCAACCTTATCGTAAGTTTTTTTTCTAAATTAAAAAAATCATATGTAAATCTTCCTTAGTCTCTCTGTACTTTTCAATCAAGCCTCACGATTATTATATAGCTTCCGTAGAAGATCTGTTCGTCATAAATCCAAACTAATTATGAGAATTCTTGATATCACGTCTTAACCTATGTTCAATTACTCTCTCACATAATTTTAATGTATGTCACATTAACTCAATTCCTCTATAATTTGCACACTTCTGTGAATCACCTTTATTTTTAAAAATGGGTACCAAAAACTCTTTTTCCATTCCTCAGACTTATTTTTAGTTTTTAAGAAATATCAAGAAGCTTAATAAACCATGAAACTTTCAAATCTCCTAAAATATTTTCACGCTTCATTTGGGATATCATCAAGTCCTACTGATTTTTCACTCTTGATTTTTCTTTAAAGTCTTCTCAACTTCATTTTTACTAATGTAAAATTAATTTTTTTGTCTTCTCAACTTCATTTTTACTAATGTAAAATTAAATTTTTTTTATTATTATTTACAATATTAACATACTTTTTATCCATTATTTATGCTACTTTTAACATTGTCATTATCGGGTCTCAAGCCCCTTATGCGAAAAGTTGGGGGTCGTGTTAGTTAGTTGAGAGCCAATGTAATCTTTTTTTGTCAAAACTTCATGACATAAACCATTTAATATCGAAATATTACTTTTTTACATTTTTCATATTACATAAAAATTATCACTTTTTAAAAATTGTGAAAAATAACTTTTCATGCATAGGTAAGGTGGTCTATGTGTAAAAATTGAAATTTTGATGATACCTAAATAAAAATGAATTTTCTCTTTCTTGGTAGTCGACAAAAAAGGAGCATAGCTCGAGGCAAAGTGACAATCAGAGGCCAAACCAGAACTGATGATTATAGAACAAATGATCAACACCATACAATGAGGTTGCTCGATTCGACCTGGCCAGTGGCCTGATGTTTGATGGAGGAGTCAAAGAATCACTTTGTTGAGACAACTCAAACTTAGCTTGAGTAATTCAAGATTGAACATCTAAGGAGATCGATCTGAATTCTTATGGAGAATATCGGAGAGCTATCAAGCTCAGCATGAGAAGAGAATCTTGAAGAGTGAAAGAAAGGGAAAGAGCATATGGGGAAAGAGCATATGAAGTGTACCTGCACAACCTTACTTCTTCACATATATAGGGAAACAAAGAAAGTTTAACCATCATACATAGGTAAAAATAGACTTGAATAATTGTTTTCATAAGAAGTTATCAGTGGGATCACATCAACATAAGAAACGAGGTAAAAACTATTTTATGCCAGAAATGACACTTAAATTACAACAAAATGCTCAGAATTTAGTCCGAGATAAATAATTTTATAGAGGGATCTGATGCTGCTTAGACCATGACATGCCCCAACCGAAGCGGCCTCATGTATAAGAACTTCCCATCTTCACCAAAATGGATTCACCCTGATTTAGCTTGTGCCTAGAAAATCAAGGATTTCTCTCAGACATCTGACAGCTCCTAGTGAATAGTCGCCACCATTTCCTCCATCCGCTTTATATAAGCCAACAACTCACAAATCTCCTCACCCTGTTGGATCCCAGCCAACCGAGCAAATGAACTCTTGATTTTGTCCAAACGACGAGCCAACGATTTTGGAGATGTCTAAATCTCATCATTTGCTTTCCTCATGTATCTCAAGAGAATTGTTAGAATGATCGAACCAACCATCTTGCTCGAGAGTCGATCACCCTCCCCTAACGCCTAGTTCACAATCACTGACACCTTAGTTAAACCCACGTTTGAGTTGATTAGTTTGATTATCTACGCTAAGAGTCATCATAATACAAAAAAAAAGACTTCCAAAAAATATGACCTCACAAACAAGGTTGAAGCCCCAAGTACCCATGAGCCAATTCAAATCAGATATTGTAATTGACATGACAGGCTCACCAGGAACCATCGATGAAAGTGACAATCTTGGAAGAAGATATTTGACTGACTTTTTTTATCAGATGGGCTTGGGCTATAACATAAGGTTGAGCGACTAGATCGAACGTCAGGTCGGTCAGCTAAACATTCCTTCGTAAAGTGTTGAGAATCAAATCAGACGATCCCACGTGATCTGGTAGTGGGAATGCAAATGATGTCATTTTTCCTCTTCTCGCATTCTGATTGGTCCTGTCCTCTCAGTTTTTTGAAGGTGGAACAAATTAGACTCTTTGGTGGAACAAATTAGACTCTTTCGTAGGAAGGTCAACCCAAACCTTTGATAGATTGTCCACTCCACCATTTGAAAAATTGAAGCTGGACGGCTCAAAACAGGAAATACACAAAGTAAATTAAGAATGATAAGGAGTCTAACTGCACTTTATTTATAAGAATCGAAGGCATGGAAATCAATGGAGTTCAGTTATTGAATTATTTATTAAAATTGAATGTGTTGTACATTTGTATTAAATTCTTTTTTTTATCGTAGTATCACTTTCAAGAAGTAAGAGAATCGTGGAACTAAAATATGAACATAAAAATGTGTTTACACTTATCTTAAAGATAGCTAATGGTCCAAAAAAGAAGAGTATGACATAGGCAAGCCCAATGTCAGGAGATCATAAGGCCCACTCAACCAAACAACAAAGTCATATGAAACAAGCCAACAAAGCCAAAGACAACTAATCTACACGGTTGACAAGAAGACAACCACAAGCCATTCGATCAGAAATGACATAAAATAATGTCTGAGCCATCCACTACAGGAAGGCTGACTCAATGCAATAGTTTATCCCCCAATAGAGCTGATTCAAAGGAAGTTTTAGTTTCACAAAATATCTCTGCCCATCTAGTGGAGACCCAAAAAATTCCTCACTAAGGATCGAAAATATCGACCAAGCTAGATCAACCGCTCGAATCGTACTAACAAAAGTCAGCCTACTGAGCTGATTCTGTCGACTTGAAGTCAACTAAGGGCGTGTTGGGCAGCTTATAAGTGTGGCAGCGTTTTCCAAACGTCGCCTCAGTGTTTGTTTCGTGCGTTTTAAAAAACTTGTTTTCTATTTTCCATTAAACACGGACTATATCCCCGCGATCCGTGTTCGCACTTTAGCTTTTACCCTTCTTGCCCTCGCTAACCCAATCTTTGCCCTAACCCTCTATCAAAGCCAATCCCGCCTCTGTCGCAACCCATTTCGCCGAGAGGTTGCTCTCCCCTGGTAAGAAATTCTTCTCCTCCCTCCTCTCCTCCCTCCTCTCCTCTCTCCTCTCTTTCTCCTCCCTCCTCTCCTCCCTCCTCTCCTCTCTCTTCTCTCCTCTCCCTCTTTTGGTCAAAAGCCTTCTCTAATATTGCGGTAGAGAAAGGTTCCTCTCCTCGGTCCTTCTCATATATTGAGGTGAAGAAAGGTTCTCTATACTCACAGTGAAAAAAGGTTCCTCTCCTCCCTCCTCTCCTCCCTCCTTCCCATATATTTGGCCGGAAAGGTTCCTCTCCTCCCTCCTTCACAAAGTTGATGCTTGATAGCAGCAAATAGCTGATTTTGTGGTCAAAATCATTTTTATTGCAATGTTTATGCTTGATAGCAGCAAATAGTTGATTACATACCAAGGTTTAAGAGGATCAAAATAATTCTCCATGCTTCTTTTCCTTATTTACTCTGGAAAGAATTGGAAATGGAT